GTCTCAAACCTAGCCCTCTTTGTCCTAAAGAGCACATGAAAAAGAGGTGTCAACAGTTATTTCCCACATAGTAAAGATGGCTCTTGCTACAGCCTTTGCTATTCTTTCTGCCCTCTGTATTTCATCTGTCTTTTCAAAACAGATCTTTTTCTAGTTCCATCTAAATTACTTTACCTAATGACTTTACATGAATCTAGTTTATAGTCAACTAAAGTACTAAAATAATGATTTCTTCAGAGGGAACTTCACAATCCATTATATATCTCTACCTGAAAATGGCAGGTCCTGTAAGGGATATTTACCTACTGACATGGAAATGCGCTTGTATTTCAGTCTTTCCACTGCAATTTCATGATTCTTTGATTCACTTGTATGTGAAATTGGTAAACCTACTGCTCTGTTCTCCACCAGCTTTGACATGATTGATTTTGACTTAATATTCCCTGCTGAGGGTTGTTTTTTCTGTTGATATAGTTCCCTTCCAAACCCTTGTCATTTTTCTTCTTCTTTGTATCTTGATTCCTAAATTGTTGTCCTCATGTTAACCTTAGGATATGCAGCTAACACTGAGAGAGGATATGTTTGTGTTTGTAACTCTTTAAGCTTTTCTGACCTCTCATAAAAATGAAAAGAATGTGCCCTTGATAACGAAGGTAGAGATGTTGTGCAGGGAGCCATGTAGAATAATAGAATCACAGAATCATTTGAGGTGAAAGGGACCTTAAAGGTCATCTCATCAACCTCCCCTGCAATGAAAAGGGGCACCCACAGCTAGATCAGCAAAGTTTGAAATTCATTTTTTAATTTAAAGGATATGGGGAGCCTACTGCTTTTTTAGTAAATGAAATATTACTCTTAGAAACGGTTGACAGATTTCCAATGACATTTCCTTAAAAGTTAAATTTTTAAATAGTCACCATCTGTATTTTTCCTTTTTCGCTGCTTTATTGAAGGTGTCACAGTTCTGCGTGCTTCTCTCATGTTGCTCACATGGAGAAAGGAAGGGGGAGGGCAGGCCTGAAACAGACGTTGCTTTCTGACATGTCCTTCCACCTTCCCCAATCCTTGTGTTCTGCCTTCATTGCATGAAGTGTGCTGTTTTTTCTTCATGTTACATATGGGATATTCCCTGAAATCAAGAGATTTGCCCAAAATTCCTATGCATTCTGTGATTTAGTGGAGGGTTGTTAGAATTAGGATAGTATGGTTAGGTTGCAGTAGGACTTGATGATCTTTAAGGTCTCTTCCAATCTGATCAATTCAATGATTCTGTGACAGCAATGAGTTGTGCCATATCACATAACTCCTGGACTAATCTTTACCTAATCACAACCATCCCGTATCAGCACTGGATGATTATTTCTATGCAAGTATTACTGCTTTTCAAAAGAAAAAAAAATGTATTTGCACAGAAGTTGCATTTGACAGCTTTGCTGTCATATTAATAATCATTCTCCTTGGTATTTTTTTTTTCTAACAAAATATTTGTGGAAATTTTAAGACCACTGAATAAGATACAGTCTACTCCGTATGTATTACTGATCCTTCATTCTGCATTTTTTATGGTTGCATAGCACTGCTTTCTTGTTCAGAAGGAAGAATGTGTTACTACATCTAACTCATCTTCTCCCATACTCCTAGCTTCCCTTTCAGAACCCTATTAATAATTTTTCTCTCCCATATGCACTTTTTGTTTCCCATATGCACATTTTTGCCTGAAGCAAACTCTTCTCGGTGTTTATTTTTGGTGTGTGTCCAGCACTAGTGTAATCCATTTACAGTTATTTGTGCTGGTAGAATATCAGCTAAATCTACTTGCTCCATTTTGTCATGCCTAGTTAATATTTTAAAAAGAAAATTAGTGAGATTTTTCCATAACAATACTGGGTCAAACACAGTTCACACAGTGTACTGCACAATATTCAGTTTTGCTTTGTGCACTGGTTATTATCCAATTAGGGTGATAGCTGAGCATGTGTATTTTAGCCATGTGTTAATCCCAGTAGTGTGTTCTGTCCTACAGACAATACAGTGGTTCCATTACAGGGGATGAAATTGCATTCTCTTTTTAATCCCTCTTACCCTGCTGCCTATGACTTAGCTGCACACATAGATCCCATATTTAAGCGTTTTTTTCCTCACATAGACAATGACAAGCTTCTTAAAAACATAAGAGGAAAAAAAAACAGACTTCTTTTGGATAGACAAATCTTTTATTAATTGGTTGTTTTTGTTTTTTTTTTTTCCAATTATCATTGAGATATTTTCTAACTGTAGAATAACTTAGATGTGCAGGCTGGGTTCAGGACAAGTTCAACAGTATTAAATTCTTTTGAAAAAAAACCAACTTGCTCAAATTCTGATAAGAGCCCATTTCAAATACAGTGTAGAAGCAGTGTATGAATAAACATTACCATCAAGAGGATGCCTTTGCAGTTCTGCATCGTTCAGGTTGGGGTGTAGGAAGGCCACCTAAGGGTCATCTTCTCTTTTAAAAAACGGGGTAAGACTGAGAGGAGTATCTCTAGTCCCACAGTATGTGACTACATTTTCTTTTCTGAGTGGCCTTTTAAAAACATATATATGTGAACAGTTTTTGGCTTCTGAAATCAGCTAGACTTCTCCAAATAGCTTTAAAAGCAATGTTTAAAGTGGTTTCTATATTCTGACTACTCAGAAATGGTGTCTGAGAAAGCTTCAATGGCAACAGAATGTCCTGGAGTGGACAGACCAGAGTGCTGTATGTCCAAAAAGAAAGGTCCAAAGAATATAGAAACTGCTTTTTTTTTTTCTCTTAGCTGATGTTCATAGCTCCATAGAGGTCTACCATGATCAAAATGAAATCTGAACCCGGCCTTGTTAGTGTTTAGTCTTTAAATACAGAGAGAGAGTTTGCATGATTCAGTCTCGCTTACCTTTATATTTACCTTAGATGTAGCAATGATTACCCTATAGACTCACTTAGCTCAGATGTTTGAGTGCTGGCTTCCATATCTGCACCTGCAGTTCAGAAGTGCATTAACATTTATTTTTCAAACATGAAACGACCTTAATTTATGCAGAGCTCTGAGAGTGCTTGCAGTTGTGCTCTAGTTACGTGAGAGGACAATGCCATGTGCATGCTTTTGCCTTTTCAGCAAAGTTCCTAACAAAATTTGCATTATAGCATGATTGTAAGACTATCACCTGGAATGAAAATACACTTAAAACTAATCTCAGTTTCATATGTGACAACAACTGCAGTGTTGTCAAAATATTTTGTCCACTGCTTGAGCATTGCTGTGATTTGTCATTAAGGATTACCACCAGGTTGTATCATTATCTATTTTAGGAAGGACTGAGCTTTGAGGCATGTTAGGTGAATAATTTAGGAGAATTAAAATAATTTGATCAATTGAGGCCCTGGAACGTGTCCAAAGTAGGACAATGAAACTGGTGAGAGGCCTGGAGCACAACTCCTATGAGGAGCGGCTGAGGGAGCTGGGATTGTTTAGTCTGCAGAAGAGGAGGCTCAGGGGAGACCTCATTGCACTCTACAACTTCCTGAAGGGAGGTTGTGATGAGGAGGGGTTTGGCCTCTTCTCCCAGGCAACAAACAGGACCCGGGGAAATGGCCATAAGTTGTACTAGAGGAGGTTTAGGTTAGACATAAGGAAGAACTGTTTCTCTCAGAGAGCGGTCAGGCACTGGAATGGCTGCCCAGGGAGGTGGTGGAGTTGCTGTCCCTGGCAGTGTTCAAGAGGCATCTGGATGAGGAGCTACGAGATATGGTTTAGTGCTTGTGGTAGCAGTGGTAATGGGAGACAGTTGGACTAGATGATCTTATAGGTCCTTTCCAACCTTGTGATTCTCTGATTCTCTGATTCTATAATTCTAGGTTGAAAGATGTAGAAAACCTCCAAAAAGTGTAGACATTTGGGGGTCCAAGATAAACTGAGTCTTAAGGAACAGAAGAGTCACTTGAAACTAGACTATTTCCCCAAATATTTTTACATGCTTGAAAGAGTCACCCAAGATTTCATACATTTTACACCACTGTCACTCTATGAGAAGAATGAAAATACTGAGAAATAAAAACTGCAGGAAAACTTAAGGAAACTAGCTTGTATCCCCTTGAGGGGTTTACAGAAAACCCTGTACAGAACGTAATTGACAACACTGAAAAATTTATGAAGAATGGAAAGGAGAAATTTATAACGCTATCATAACTTTGAAGATCTTAGGCACAAATAATATATTCCCATTTATATATTTACAAGCTGCTAAAGATTACTTAATTTGTTATATAGATCATTCCTACGTGGCCTTATCTTTAAACTTAGCTTCTTGTTCTGCTTTCATTATGTCTACGTACACTGGTACATAATGAAGCTTTAGTATTTAGGTTTAGTATTTAGGGCAGATAACATTCTTCCTGAACTTGTTATTTGCATATTCTGATGCAATTTTGTTGACAAGATCTCTTCAGGCATGCAGAAAAAAATCCCTCTCTGTGTCTGTTTTGATCAGTGGCAAGAGGGGGATCTTTTCCAGTACTTAGCCTTGATGCTGTTTCCACAAGGAAGCGCTTTGCCTTATAAAGCTTGCTTATACGCATCTGCTTCAGCAGGATGCCTGCGAGTTGTGTCAGGGTCATCTAGAAAAAGACCAAATCTGAAAATTGAGAGCGGTGTTAGTTGTGTTGGTTGGTTGGCTTTTCTTCTTTTTTTCTTTTTCCTTTTTTTTTTTTTTTTTCCCCCGCAGTGGCTTGTCATCCAGAAAGGGACGCGGGCGCGTCCCAGGCGCGCACAGCGCTGCCTGCTCCTGCCTGCAGCGTGGATGCCGGCAGGGCGCTGCGCGAGTGGAGCCCGGCGCTGACAAGGAGCCACGCAACGGCTCCGCTCCGAGCAGCGCCGCCGCCTCCCGCTACCGGGGCGCTGGGGAAGCGCGGGCAGACGAACCGGCGTTTGGCTGGAGGGGCTTTTCTACCCAAAGTGGCCGGAGGAAGCGCGGGTTGAGCCATGCGTGCGCACCTGCCCGAGCAGCCCGGAGGCGGCAGGGGGACAGCGGGGCCGGGCAGCGTTGGGCAGCCCGCAGGCAGAGATGCTCGCTGTGCCTGCGGCTGGCATCAACGTCAGCACCAGCCGGGACGCTCTGGCAGCCCCCAGGAGTATCCCTGCGGGGCTACGAGCCGGAGCAGGAACAAGTTTGTCGCTCTGCGGGACGCCGTGCGGAGGAGCCCTCGGAAATCCCCGGGCAGGCAGCGGTGCAGCGCGGGGGAGTGGTGCTCAGAGGGCGGCTGGGCCACCCCGCTGCAGGTGAGCCGGTGCTGAGCCCTCCCAGCTGCCCTGGGCTGCTCCGGGGATGGGGTGAGGTCTGGGGGCTGCTCTGTGTCGGGCTGGGCTTGGTGCTTGGGCTGGCATCGCGGTGTGCTGCGGTCTTTGGAAATTGCAAGGTCCTCTTGGAAGAGTTTGTTAAAATGTTTTGGTTCCTGACTCCGGGTTCTGCAGCCTTTGAATTCCATCCTGTGAAGAACCGATGTATTGATCCCTTTCCTCCTGTAATGAGTTTTGCCTCCTTCTACAATCGGCTTGTTTTCAGTCTTAGGCGGAGTTACGTAGGGATACTTTAACAGTGAACTTTGGCAAGGAGATTTATTACTAAGAGAAAGCATGACCTATTTTTTTCTTTTTTTTTTTTTTCCCCAATCTTTCATATATCTGAAATAGTCCTTTAGCCTCTGCAAACATTTGTGGTTTTTGTTGTTGTTTAATGACAGGGGAGTGCGTTTTAAAATGTAAAGCAACCAGGATGCACACAGGTGCCCGTAAGCAATTAGGCTGAGGATGATTACACTCCACGCAACCCAGCACTATGAAACTGAAATCACAGTGACACTCATTTGATGTTTAATATTAAAGCTGTTTAATATTAAAACAAAAAATGTTTAATATTAAGAAGTATGTCCTTCAGTGAGGCATATGTTTTCATTTCTCACTTAAAAAGCAACAAAAGTACAACCTCATTCAAAAACTTTGCATTATGCCAATGTTAAATACTTTTTCATGGCTTCACTAAAATAAAAAAAGTAGAATTTAATGTAGAAATAGGTTTTGAAAAATGTTCTTACTTGCTGAAACAGTATAGACAGGAGTTTAACTAGCTTTAGCCTGTGCACCCTCTCTCCAGACTAAATCAATTCTTTGATGGAAATGGTTTTAATATATTTTCACTGAACAGGGAAGCTACGAGGCAAAGGATTGTCAGATAGCATAGCTGTGTTTTATGGTCTAAAAAAAGTGATGTTCTGTTGACAGAAAGTGAATACAAAATAATATATATGCAATACGGGAGAACATAATAGAGGGGAAGAAGCATCTCTGAGCCTTAACTCAGGGATACAAGTTAAAGTGAGTTATATGTGGGATCAAAGGGAGTTTTTGAGGGCTATGTTGATCAGAAGAACTGCAGTCTTCTTTGCAAAAAGGAGCAGCAATAGTGAAACAGAGATACTTGCTTACCTGGAAAAAAAAATAATGAAGTTTTATTTGAAATTTGTATCTTATGTATAGCCATGATAGTAAATAAGCTATCAACTTCTAAAGTAGAGGTTTCTTCCCGTTGACGTTCCAAGCAGACTTGCCTTCTGCTTGAAAATGCTGGGAGAAGTGATTGTCCTGAAGCACAAAGCAGACATGTAGCACCTTGGAGAATCTGCTTCTTGAGTAGCAGTACCAAATTCAGTCTTTAATTCCTACAGTTTGTATCACACAGTTTTATTAACCTACACTTCGTCATTCTGATCCTGAAAATCTGTTATCACTGTGAATGTGTCTTTGTTTTCTTTCCCAGTTCGTCCTTCTTCACTATGTCAGAGCAACGAATGGCATTCCATTATTAATGTTTCAGCTAACGTAGAGTTTCTGCTTTACTGCTCTCCATATACTCAAACAGGAATTTATTTTGAATTACAAACAACAACAAAGCTTACTTCTGAAAGTGAATTGAATTCAAATCCAAGTGGAAATTTGATTTCAAGATCTAATTTGGTTTTTACTTCCAGTCCCTTTTGACAAACTCATTTACAGTTTTGTTTCCTGTATTAAAAATGAAATTAAAAGAAAAAAAAAAAAGATAAGTTGATAGGCAAGTTTTTTTATGTCCCATTGCCTGGAAATACTTTTTGCCTCTCTGCAGTGCACTGTCTCTCTGTTGCTGTTAGCATCATGGAATGATAATTTGTGTGATTTCTTCAGTGATTTTGTATCTGAGGCCCCAGAATTACATTGCCTGTAAGAGATCTGAGTGACCCTTGCAGGAGGAGGTGGAGTAGGGGCGGTGAGCTGCAGTTTTCCATGAGTCTTTCCAAGGCTGGGTGTTGTTTGTACCATTGGATGTACTTTCCTGGCTGACACACCAAGGCTGCTGGCACGTACCTGATCACTCAGGTTGGAGATATGTGGTAACACCAGCAGCTGACGGTGAGCACAGAACAGCTCTTCCTTGTGCAGCAGCTGAGTAAGTAGGCATGGAGGAAGAGTTTAGAGAAAATTACAAAGTTGAGCTGCTGTGCTTGTCTTAATAACTCCAGGTTTACTTCATAAAATCATAGAATTGTTTGAGTTGGGAGGGATCTGCAAAGGCCATCTGGTCCAACTCCCCTGCACTGAGCAAGGACAAAACACCTACAGCTCCATCAGGTGCTCAGAGTCCCATCCGGCCTGACCTGGAATGTCTCCAGGGATGGGTCATCACAGCCACCACCTCTCTGGGCGACCTGTTCCAGTTCCTCACCACCTGTACTGTAAAAAAACTTCTTTATATTCACTCTAAATCTCCCCTCTTACAGTTTTACTTCCACGCAGTCTACATAAAGGAGGTCTCCTCTGAGCAACTCAGCCATAAGAGTGTAGTTGCAAGCTTCCAGGTTCCTAGAAATCACCACTATTCTGCTAAAAGGACATGGAGAAGAAGCAGAAATGGATTCACACCTCTGACTGTTTACCAGCTCAGATGATAATATCGAGCTCCACTTAAATTCAGCTCATTCTATTTGCTATTAAATGATTGGCCCTTCTGTTTTGAAATAGTCTCAAGGAAAAACGTCTCATCTTAGGTAGTGTTTTGTTATCTGCAAGAGTTCATACATGTATTATGTACATTTATGTACATAATAATACATTTATTTTGAAAGCTTTCACAGAAGCATAAATTTTCACATAGGTTTTAAATAGTATACTGTCAGAATCAGTATCTTTTATCGGCTTCTTCGGTTGGCTGTCTTTTTCCTGCAATTCTCTCAATGTCTTTTAAAAGAAGTAGCATCGCAGAGCTGTTTTCTTACAAGTACTGGAGTCTTTTTAGCTAAACTCTACTTCATAGATGTGTCGTGACTTAAAAAAGCAGTGAGCAGTCAAATTTTATACTGTGAGTGGAGAGTGGAGGGCCTTTGGCACTGTTGCTGAAATTGTAGTGTATCCTTTGATACACTACACTCATGCAAAGCTTTGAGAGCGCTTTGAGGCAGAAGGTCTTTTCCAAGAGATACTGGCTCTGCTAAATGAAAAAGAAATAATTTGTCATCGGATGCTCTTCTGAAAGCAACCTTTCAGGTTCCCAACCTTCTGCATATGATTTGCCATTCTTACAGAATCATAGAATCGCTGAGGTTGGAAAAGACTTCTAAGATCATCTAGTCCCAACCCCACCAAGCCCACTAGCCATTCCCTTAGAGCCATATCTACCCTTTTCTTGAATGCCTCCAGCAACAGCGAGTCTACCTCCTCCTTTCTTCTGTCAAGGTACTCCTGGCTATGGAGGTATGGAAAACTATTTTAGATACCTCAGGCAGATCTTTTCAGTCTCATTTGAGTGCTGGTAAAATGGCAATTAAAGGAGAACCAAATAATGCTGTTTTGGGAGGAGGGGGTTTCAGTCTTCAGGGCTGTTGAAGGAGCTGGGTGTCATAAAACAAGTTTTAACTTAGCGCTGACACTGTCAAGGATAAAACAGAGGGTGGCTGTGCAACTTTTGATGCAGAAAGAAGTTAACGTCTCATCTTCAGTCTGGTACTTAACCAGGGTATGTAGGCAGCAGCTCATGAGTTTCACAAAGATAAATCTTAATTGAGCATCTTGCCTTGGACAGATCGTTGTGCTGCATTTCCAAAAGTAAACTCATTTGTACATCTTTTAAGTAACAGCTGCACAGATCGCTAACAGTATTTCAAAGCAGAAATACAGAAGCTATTAGCATGTTCTTTTCAAAGATGAGTAATATTGTTATAACGATTCCTCTCTCCAATCCTATTGTCTAAAAGAGGACATGGAGAAGTCTAGGCATTCTGCGATAGCATATTGGGTGACAGTCACATCCAACACTCCCAGGACAGCTGCTTTAGAAAACAACATTCCTTTGCATTCTTATTTAAACTACTTATTCTGCAACAAAGAGGGGGGGAAAAAAAAAGATCAAACAACAACAACAACAACAAAAAAAAAACCAGGAAAATGCTGTTGATACTGAATTCATAGCATTTGGATTATGTTTGGCAGAAAATGGAGTTCAAAGATAAGTGGTGGTGACTTTTGAGTCCCCCGCACTGAAGTTAGCAATCCCCTTAGCAATGTAGGGAATGTTATTGGTCCAGTCAGGAGCCTGAAGATGTGCCATTCATCCCAGGTTTTCCATTCTATCTCCAGAATGCATTTAGCCACCTCTGCTTGAATGAATAATGTAGTGTCATTTTGCAAAAGTCTTTGAGTTTAAAAGGAAAGTAGTTGTAGTTCTATTTTCTTGTAAAATTTCTGTCTCCTATTCGTGTATCAAGTCTTTCATCAGTGTTAATATTCTTGATGGCACATAACTTCTTGAGGCAGAAAATAACAGCTGAGGAATAAGCATGATTACACAGGTCATGAAAGTATTTGTATGCAAGATGTTCTGTATGTTTCATGTAAATACTGCAGTGGGAAAATATATGCTATGTAGTATATTAACCAATGACTGTAATGATTTATAATTCATCGACACACATTTTGGCTCCTGCTGACTGCTCAGCCATAAATATGTTATTGCTTAATTTGCATGATTTATGGCACCATATTTAGATTTACATTTAATTAATCCCATCCTTTAAAACTTCTATATGCCTAAAGAAGCCAAGAACTTTTTCTCTTGTTGAGATATAATTTGGCTTCTGGGATTCTCAGGGAAGTGAAAGGGGGCATGGGAGGAGAATTGTAGGATTTGGAGGGGAGGAAGAGGGTGTTTGTTGATGTTGGTTGTTGGTTAATTGGCGTCAACTACAAGAGTTCTG